ATATGAGAGCCTTCTAGTAGTGTATATGAGAGCTTTCTAATAGTGTATATGAGAGCTTTCTAATAGTGTATATGAGAGCTTTTTAATAGTGTATATGGAAGGTTTCTAGTAGGGTGTATGAAAGGTAAAGCATTTCACCAGTTTATATGAACAGTTCTCACTACTTTGTATGAGAGCTTTTAAGTAGATTATATAAGAGGTCAATGTTTTCACTAGTTTATGTCAGAGCTTTTTACTAGTGTTTGTGTGAGGTTTTCAGTATATTATATGGAAGAGTGTAATTTAATATGTGTATATGCAAGTTAATTCTGATTTATGTCCCTGGGGGCACCTCATAGTAATTTAATATGTGTATATGCAAGTTAATTCTGATTTATGTCCCTGGGGGCACCTCATACTCCTTAGTATCTGTTAATACAGTTTCAATACAAAAAAAGTTTTTTGGAGCGAGTTAGACTTTGAAAAGTTGGTCTGTAGTTCTCAGAGATTCGGTTTTCACAGATGTTAATCTAATTTTTGAATATCTTCCTTTGTGCTGAGATAAGACTAGCCACACAATTTTGAATTTATCTTTTTCTTTGTGAAGATTCCTGTATTATGTGTATTTAAGCCAAACTATTATGCTTGCAACTGCAATAGCCTTCAGTAATACTTTTGTGCACCTATATTAGGGTGCAACTAGCCCCCTTTTATGTAAAGAATTAAGCGTTTTAAGACTAAATTACTCAATTGTGATTTAATTTGGCATTTAAATAATGTTGATGTGAAGAAATACTTTTTTTAAACTAAAACTTTTAAATTCTATTGTTGTTTTTAATTAGCTATGACCACAAAGAGAAAAGAGATGTTTTGTTTAATAAATGTCTTTATTTGGCTTTGAGGAAGGAACAGCATGTACAATCACAGTTGTATAAGCAGAATTTGGAAAGTGTCAGCACTCCTGTCTTACCGGGAACAAGTGAGATTTATTTACTTTCATTTGTGGTTAAGGCAAATATCTTTTTAATCAAAATTTCTCTTTAATTGAAGACATATCGAGCAAAATCTTTCCGAATCAGCCATTATTTAAGCTCCAGGTATCAGGTCATGCATTCAGACCTGTTGCTTGATTCATTTGTCAAAAACAAAACCAGAACAAAATGAGGAACAGCAGCAATCAAAACATTTCAGGGCAAAGTTAAAGAAAGATATGGTGAGTATAGCCCTTATTAATGACTCTACATCATAAAACCCAGCATCCATCAATATTCTTTTCCTAGAAAGTCAAACAAAGGTGCTGCTGTGTTTACATGAGAAGGAACAAAAACATGATTTTTTCAATGACATATGAAAGGAACTCTTTGACAAATGAATCAATCAAAGGTTTGGATTGGTTATAGCTCTCAAAAAATACACATAGCAGTAGTTAAAGCTCTACATTTTCATTCATAAAGATGCATTTTGCCCAGAGAAGTGGCAGCACCGCTCCTTTTCAACACCACACAGCCTCACACACACTTGCACAAAATGCTTTCTCGAAGATCAAGGTTGCAATGCTGCAGCAAATAAAAGCACAATGACAGCAGGACTAAATGGACTGAAATGAGAAAGAATTTTAAATGTGAGGTTGGAAAATTCTCCTCACCAGAATGTTCAGCTAATTTTCCTTCCTTAAATTTGACATCTGCATTCAGAAATGAGCTGACTGGGCTGTTTTCTGTAATAAAATTCCTCATGTAACGAACTCCCCAACTTGGTTATGTAAAAATCAAATAGCACCATAAAAGTTGGACAGGCTGCTTCTCATGCTCCAGGATCTGTGCATTTATCTTCAGAGTCTGTGTGCTGACTATATTTTTACCTCCGAGGTGGGTTTGCTCTCTTCTGAGTAAAAATGGATCCTCAATGGCACATATCGCAGGAAGAAACATTCACGTTTTGATCGGTTTTCCGTTTTGTGGGATTCATGCTAGCCTTTTGTTCATCAGAGATGTAAAAGCAGAGCATTACTGGATCATTGATATTTGAAATGCTTTTGTGATCACTACACATTCCTTGCTATTTCTACTTCTCCATCTGACATTGTCTAAAGGGATCCCATCTGAGCTGACAGGTGTGAAGGCGGGAGGCATCTGGAGTGGGCTGATGTGTGCGAGTAATTGGAAACACAGAGATGATATGAATAGGAAGCAGACCCACAGGTGATTGGTGGGATGTGAGATGAGTTATTGATGTTGCTGATGACACAAGCAGTTTAGCTCTTGCTTTTCTTCCCGGTGGAGCTCTCCTTCTCCTTCTCCTTCTCTGCTGGCTTCTCCTCTTCCTCTTCTCCCTCCTCCTCTCCATCTCCCTCACCTTCCTCCTGCTCATCTTCCTCTTCTCCTTCTACCTCATCCCCCTCCTCCTCCTCTACTTCCTCCTCTTCTTCCTCCTTCTCCTCCTCCTCGTCTCCTGCCTCCTCTTCCTCCTCATCCTGCTTGGGCTTCCTGTAAGCTCCGAGGGCGTAGGCACGGGCCGACGACGTGTAGGACAGTCCAGAATATCCAGAGTGGACCATGGCGCTGCTCACTGAGCTCAGGCGACACTCTTCACCTTCCAGCAGCTTCCTGTGAAGACAGAGAGACTACAGATGAGGAGGACAAAGGAAAAGACTCCTTGTTGGCTGGATTTGACAAGTTTTGCATTTCAGTACATCTCAAATGTCCAATCCTTTTTTTTTTGTAATAAGAAGCTATCATATCAGATTAGTTGTCTAAGTCAATCTTGTCTGACTTAATGGCTAAAAAGGTAAAAGCAAAATTATCATTTTGAAAACAGTGCATTCAGTGTTATCAGAATGTCTATTATAATCAATTATCGCCTCTTCTATAACATAGCAAGCTTAGATAAGGCCGCCTATGAACAAACAAACTCCTTCTGATTTTTTACCATTTCTCAACACTGAGGCTGCACAGGTAAGTTTTAAAAGACATAAATCTTAACAGCGATGCATCAAAACTTGGATAACATCTCAGCTGACGTATTTGACACAACATACTCATAACATACTAGGACTGTGTCCCAGATTTGTTGAAATCTTTCTGGATTGGCCGGGACTGTTTTGAGTCATTTACTTTGTATTAATATGCAAGAAGAATGACTCAGTGTGGGATTCCACAAGGCAATATTCTAGGGATACTTTTATATAAATACGAAAATGTTCGACCTACATCCGATTATATGGTATTAAAAGATCTCTTCATATTCTAATGTTGACAAAGATCTTTCTGTATCAACACATCATACCACTCCCATACAGAACCGAGTCTCTAATACCTGTAAGTAGACGCTTCAAAGCAAACAGGACAGGAATTGTTATTTTAGGTCTTAAGATGCAAAGTAGAACTCAACTGTATTAACTGAGGCTAAAATCTTCAGTGTTGCTATGAAGTCAGAGTTAAATGTGAACAACCTCTTGGTGTTAACGACTAATGCAGTTTAATAACAAAATTAATTGTTTTCTGTCAAATGCTGCATGCTTTGCCCTATCCAACGCCAGGATATTGGAGAACACTCTACAAGTTATTAATTGTCGTCACTAGCTCCCTGTTTGTGAAAATAAACATTTAAAAATACATCTGTAAGGCACTGAATGGGTTTGGCCCTATATAGGATTCAAATACTGGTGAGTTAGACTCCTCAGGTCATGAATGATCGATTCTTTCAGAGTTCCCAGTGTCATGATCTGCCCTGATGGCTCATTCAATTCACTCACCTGCCTAGCTCTGCCTGGTTTTCTAATTATCAGTCATCTCATCCACCTGGGTCTGTTGCTTTATATTCGGTTCAGCCCGAGCCATCGGGGCCAGATCATTGTTTGTCTGCTTTCTGTTTGTTCCCTGTTTGGCCTGTGTTTTTGTCCTGTCCATTGGTTTAGTTAGTTTTAGTTATTTCCAAGGTTCATGTCCCCGTTTCCAGTAGGAGATTATTTTTGAGCCCTTGTCTTCAGGCGAGTTAATTCCCTAACCAGTGGAGAGAACGTTTTAGCGTTTCCAGAGTGATTCTGATTTCCTGATTCCGTTCCCTCTCACCCACTGGCCTTGTTTGTCCCCATCTAATCTGTTTGCCTTAACCATCCTTGGACTCCTACTGGATTCTGCATGTCTGCATCTCTGCCCTTCTGGAGCCGTCTGAATCCGAACATGCCATCATGCTCTAAGGATTCCTGGAAGCCTGGATCCCTCTGTTCTGGTTTGGTTTGGAATCTCTGATAGATCGTAGGTGTCCTGGATTCCTAAACTGTTCCTGCCTGCTCTGTCTTCCCCTGACCTGGATGGGCTTCCTTCAAGTTCTGGGCGACGGACGCTGCGTCTGGTTGGCAGTTCATCAGCTGGATCGCACCTCTTAAGGGAGGATGGAATGAATAGTGTAACCAGAGTCAGTCATGGGTTGTGCCCTGCCCCTGCAGTCCCTGCAGGTCCATAGCTACACAATTCAGCGCTTTTGTTCTGTATTGTCTGTTTGATTTTTCTGTTAATAAACGTTTTTAACTTTCCTACTGACTGGCTCACCTTGAATATTGGGCCCATCTGTCCCGTTGTATGACACCCAGGGGGAAGAACTAACAAGCATTCAGGAATAATTCAGTTTCGATGGTCCATAATTGTTAAACCAAATCCCTAAAAGAAAATGTGCAGCAACTGTTTACTTTTCAATTATTTCCTAAAAGTTCAAAGTGCATCAAGGTTGTTTTAGGTCAGTTTAGCTGCTATATAAAGTAAGTATTTTTATATTCTGTTATTTTCATTGCACTTCTTTGAATGTAATCATGTTTACCTGTTAGTTGAAAAATCTCAACCTAATTAATTTCCATTACTTTAAAACTAGAAATAAAAGCCACAGAGGACCTAAATGAAGAAATCATGTGAAGTTTAGTTTATTAAAACTATGGTTATTATATGGGTTGTTTACCACTCTGATATTTTCTTTTGGAAAATAACATGACCTGTAAGCAGCAATCTCAATGTCCAGGGCCATCTTGACATTCAGCAGGTCTTGGTATTCACGCAGATGACGGGACATTTCTCCCTTGGTGCTTCGCAGAGCAGCTTCCAGCTGCTGAATCGTGTCCTACAGAAACAACCAAAGGTAAAGAACGAAATCAGACCCCCCCCTCATTATTAAAATGTTTCTTCTCTTGGTCTTTATTGCTAAGTGTTTGACTCTTTACAATCTCACCTTGCTTGCATATTTCATAATTTACTTACTTGCATCTCTCCGATCTCATTGTTGTGGCGGTCCTCCATCTCAGCAATCTGCCTCTCAAGGGCTTCATTGTGGCCCCTAAGGGCCTCAATCTCCAGGGTGCGGGCTTGCACCTGCCTACGGTACTCGCTCAGCTCCTCCTTTGAGTGCTTGATGGCATCCTGGTTGCGAGCAGCAGCCTCTGTCACATTGGCAAACTTGGAGCGGTACCACTCCTCAGCCTGGACCTGGTTCCGAGCTGACAGGTTCTCATACTGAGCCCGGATGTCCTTCAGAGCTGCAGCCAGATCGGGTTTACTCATGTCCATCTCTACTGACACCTTGATGAAGGAAATCAGACAATACACATTTCATTAGTACTCAGCTTTGTTGAACCAGTGTGGATGTTCTGCTAGGTTAGCTACCACTGAGCTGCTGTACATCACTTTAGACAACAGGGAAGGGAGACAAGGTCACTTCTGTTTCAGAGCAGCTGAACATTTTGAACTGTTTGCATCAGGCAGACATTACTGCAACCGACTGCTCCATGGTTTTCAGCCTCAGGCTGTTATATACCCTTATTTTTATTAAATGTTGTGGGCTTATTCCATTTAAACTAATGTGGTGAATTATAATTAAGAAACTACATCTAAAATCACCGCTAATTATATTATTGACATTGAAATTGCAATAAATTGATCAAAAACTAGCCTACTAATGGTTTGATCAATTTATTGAAACTAAAACATTTAAACGTCATAGTGCCGCCCTGAGGTTTACACAGTTAGGTAAACAATTATGAAAGTAAAGTTGTTTAAAATAATTTGTATATCATTCTGGAGGATGCTAACAAAATAATGTTTTTAATCAAAATTATCAAAAAAAAATGTGTTCTATTTGTAGTCATAAATTTGTAGAAAAATAATCCCAGAAAGATTTAGATTGTATTAATATTTTTTTTCACCAGCCCTTAATGATAATGTCCACCTATGTGACCATAATGAGGCATCCTTGCTGGAGGTTGTGTTTACAGATGCACGATTTTGGCTCAGCGCACTGAGCTGCTGCGGGACAGATGAATGGACTGCTGACTCAGGCTCCTCTGCTGCAGAAAGCTGCAGTCAGTATCTTTCATGTCAGTCCTATTCCCTGCAGACCAGTGTACTCAAGACAAACCTACCCAGCAACCATTATAGCCAGAATATTCATATAAGATATATTTTCTCTTTACAGTCTGCCTTAACATAAGTCAATAATGTGATATAAAAATAAACTATTTTGAAGTTTGAATATTTTTCACACATGTGGGTGTCCAGGAATTAATTTAGTGTTTCGACCTTTAGGTTTCTGAGCTGTGCTGCTGTCGCTTGGCCCACACTGTCTGTCCCGCTGTCCCTGAGGAGGTCCACACCCTTAGAATTTATGCGCAATTTTTATGGATTGCACCACAGCCTTTTCTTTTCTCTCTCCCTTTCACCTCTATTAATAAGAATTTTTATGGGGCCAAAAACGTTTAAACGTTAAGAGACGAAAACGAGACTAGATTCAATTAAAGGGACGCGATATTTCTACTAGTCAGTTAAACAGGACTAACGATTGTTAGAGTTAGATATTTGGACAAGGCAGGCGCGTGATGGTGTGCGCGGATGCTGCAGGGTAGTTCATGAGCTCAGCAGCGGACGGGATAGCGCGTGGTGCTGAAATCAAACTGCAGAGTCATCAATCTGCCCGTGCGCAGTGCTCAGAGTGTGAAGGGTTCGAGATGAGAATGGGGAGAGGAGCGTGTAAAAGTAGGGAACTGGACGTTTTTAGTTCCTGTCATCCACATTTAGATGTTTTTATGCTCTGCTTATGTCTACCTGAGTTGCCTGTAGGGAAGTCTGCAGCTCCTGCAGCTCCTCTTCATGAACTTTCCTCAGGAAGGCGATCTCATCCAGCAGAGACTCCACTTTCTTCTCCAACTCAAGGCGCACCAGGGTGGCGTCATCCACGTCCTTACGGTAGCCCTTCAAGGCATTCTCCGCCTCCTCCCGCAGCCTGCTCTCCTCCTCCAGCTTCTCCCTCACGCGCTCCAGCGTCTCGTTCATCTGCACGCAGTCCAGGTGCATCTGGCTCTTCTCGTGAGTCAGCTCCTCCACGCGCGCCCGCAGTTCGCGGATCTCCTGCTCGTACAGCTCGTGCAGGCGCGACGGCTCGTTGTTGCGCTGGCGCAGCAGAGTTACCTCGGCCTCCAGGACTTTGTTGTGCTGTTCCAGGTTGTGGACCTTCTCGATGAAGGACACGAAGCGGTCGTTGAGACCCTGCAGCTGCTCCTTCTCGTTGGTGCGAATGATCTTGAGCTCGTTGGTGACGGCGGTGGACTGGGTCAGGTCCATGGCGGAGTCCGGGATGGAGGAGAAGGTGCGACCAGGAGCCGCTGTCCTGCGGTAGGTGGTGGAGGAGACCACAGACGGGGAGCCATAAGTGCGGTGGCTGCTGCGGTAACCCGAGGAGTGAAGACGGGACGGGCTGCTGCTGCCCAGACCTACGCGACCTGACCGGGGCGCATCTCCAAAGATCCTACGATAGGAGCTGCTGCTGTAGATATCGCTGGAGTAACTCATGTTTCCTTTACTTTAGGGAAGAGGATAGAAAGACAGCTCAACTGTGTGCGTGCGTGTGTGTGTGGAGCTCAGAGGTGTGTGATGGTGAGTGCGCGGGAGGGACAGAGAGTGAGATGCGAGTGATGTCTGGCCCGGACTGGTGCTTTTATAGTCAGGGCTCTGCGGCGCATCATTTGACGCAGCAACAACAGAGAAGGGGGGAAACCTGCAGACTTTTGCAGAAAGCCTCCTCCCTCCTGGGAGACACCTTACGCACCTCATCCGTTTCCACACTGCAGCTCAAAAATAAAAAGAGCAATTTAAAGTGATGGCCCAAGTTTGATGCACAAAATGCTGTTCGCACCTGTCATATTTTCATTTCCTACATGGAGCATATATTATTACTAATGAAATCTGACATCTTTTCTTTACTTTTTTTTTAACATTTATATGCTACCTATAATCTATACTGCCCATTGCCGCTGCAGTTTTCTCTGCTAGCCCTGCAGAATACCAAATGGGATCGATGTGCACAGCCAGAATGTGTGATGGTGCTGCAGTCTGCATCCAGTCGCCTTCAGCACCTTCACTCTGAAATGTGTTTTTCTGGCTCGTAAAGTAAGAAATTTAAACGAAATGAGAGAAAAGTCTCAGCAAGTTGTTAGTTGTTTTTATTCTGTAAAACACAATCCCTGATTAAAACTGAAATCCCTATTGTGTGAATTAATTGTAATTTATTCATCGAGCACTAAACAGCAGAGCCATCACCCTAGAAATATTAAAGGCACAAATTAAAATAAATATATATGGCAATATACATATAAATAAACAAATAAATAAATAAAATATATTACAAATATATATAAACAAGTATATGATATAATACATTATGGGAAAACTGTAGGAAGTGATGGTACTGAGTCACGGTTAAATGTTGCGCTGGCCTTGGTCCTGATCCAGGCAGGAGCAGAACCACGCCCCTGTGTGGTGAGGAGAAGACCCCCACCGCTCCGTGGACTGCAGCCTCGCCACCTCCAAACATCCTCCACGGCGCGGTTTGACACTAAATCCTGAATTTATCGTTATTGCCCTATTTTAAAACAAAACGGAAGAAATCATTTAGAAAATCGCATTCCTCGCTGCATATTTAAAACTACAAGACACTTGGCGGTGGAAAAAAAGGTATAGAAAGCTATTTAAAAGCATTCATAGCCTTTGGATTTTTTTCACATTTTGTCACGCCTGAAAATTGTCCGTCTTCATTGTATAATGGGATTTATGCGACAAATATCGCTAAGATCGCGTTAAAAGCACATCTGTACTTATAACCTATGGTCAAACACTGGCAGCTCTTATGGCCACATGCAAACTATGGTCACATTAGGCATTTATAAGAAAAAAATGAATGACACTTGGCATCTGTCACCTTGGTGGTAGAGAAATGTTGTTTTACAGCAAAGTATTGTGAAAAACACATATTTACTGGAATATGCTGTAAAAATAGCAGTTAATCCATCATGTATTCCCAGGGAATCCCTCCTGTGTTTAAAGTGAGCCCTCTTTAACAGCTCTTCCAGTTGGTTGTTCCTGCAATCAGTTTATGTTTTACCTATTAATTGATTGATTGATTGACATTGATATTATCAGACATCTTTTAGATACAGCAACATCAGGATGAATTGTAACAGTGACTTCTCTCATTATATTCCAGCTCTTCTTTGTTGCTTGAAAAGATTAAAGTGATTTTTAAATAAACACTTAAACTAAAACTCAGTCCTATTGACATAATAGTAGGCCTACAGTAACTTTTAACAAGCTGTATTTTTTTTTTTTAATTAAAAATACACTACATCTCACAGTGAGAATTGTGGAGTAAAATAAAAATCATAATTGGTTTTAATATTTCTAAAAATAAAAGTCTGAAAATGTATCATGCATTTTATATTCAGCGACTGAGAAACTTTATGCACAGCTGATGAATACGTTTTTGACACTTCTGCAAAACTGCAGACAAAGGCTTTGAATATTTATTCATTTCAAAATGTCTTAAGGGAAGGTAGACCGCTTGGATTGGAAAAAATACCTAAACACAAGGTAAAAACATTTTGAGGTGAAAAAAATCATTCTTGTTGGACTTGTTCTTGCCCTTGACTAGGCCATTCTAACACTGGAATCACTTTTGATTTATATCATTTATATTTTGCTCTTTCTGTATATTTAGGATCATTGAGTTTGAACCCACACCTGAGTCTTTAGCAGCTGCTAACAAACTTAAACCTCAGGACCGCCTTCTATTTCTCCAACAACTCCAGCCAACTTTCCCCATTCTGGCACAATAAAGGGATTTGGAACCCAACTTTCCTGTTTCTAGAAAAGAAAAACTTTCCCACAGCATAATGCTCCCACTGCTATGTTAAGAGCTCATTGTTCTACATATATTCTGTGTGGTAAATGGTAGATATGACTTCTCATGACTTTCTTTAAAAATCTCTTTCTTCTTGATATTACTACCAAAAGGCCATTTCTTGGTTTCATCCATCTCGCTTGTTGGTCTGTGCAGCTCCACTAAGGCACTGCTGTCCTCCTCTCCTGCCCTTTCAGTAAAGGTGGACAGACATGCATTGGATCTAGAGTTGTGTCATATTCTTTCTCTTTGCAGATGCTTTGCTGAATATGATATCTTCAGTGTATTGGGATTGTTTGATAACATAATTAATAAACCCCTCCAAAACTTCTCCCCTGCTGTTTTCCTTGGTCTTCATGATGCTGTTTGTTCACAGATCCTCTATAACAAACTTTCGAGGCCTTCAGAGAGTAGCTGCGTTTACTGGATAATATATTAAACAGGAGGAGTCCATGTACCTGAATTGGTGTTCCTTGATTTTATTTAGCAAAGTCAGAGGGGACTGAATACATGAATTGGACATGCCACTGTTTAAGTAGTCTGAAAATTATTATTACTGTGTATTAATGTGCCATTTTAGCATTGGGTAAATATTCAATACATGAATTACACAATCATGACCGACTTCAGGAAGAACTGGTCTAACCACGCTCCACTGCTCATCAACAGCTCAGCTGTAGAAGTGGTCAGCAGCACCAAATTCCTGGGGGTGCACATCACAGACACCCTCACCTGGACTATGAACCCCACCTCACTGGTCAAAAGGGCACAAAAGCGCATTTCCTTCCTGGAGGATGTGGAGGATGAGGAGAGCCCACCTTCCCCCATCTATCCTCACCACCTTCTACAGAAGCACCACAGAGAACATTCTGAACAGCTTTCTCACTGTGTGGTATTGAGGCTGCAGCACTGCAGACTGGAAGAAGATGAGAAAAGAGTGATGAGAACAGCAGAGAAGATCATCGGGGCTCCTCTTCCCTCCATTAAGGACATTTCATCCCAGCACTGTATGTCCTGAGCCCGTAACATCCTCAATGACCCCCTCACACCCCACCATGGACTATTCTCCCTGTTGCCCTCTGGGAAGTGGCTTCACAGCATTCGATGCAGTTCCAGCAGATTATGCAGAAGTTCTTCCCCACCGCCATCAGACAACTGAACTGTTGACAAAACTCTAAATCATGTCACAGACTCTGCATCACACTGATAACACCAAACCAAAACACTACATAATTGCACCATATATATTAATGCTCTGAACTTCCACATCAATGCCTTTTTTGCACATGTTTTTCCTCCCACAATGTTTACATTTTATCACTGCTGCTCTTTAAGAAATGGAAATGTCATGAAAGCTGTAAAAAACGAAATTCCGGTTTGTATACACTCTGTGCATGCAAAACGACAGTAAAAGTTGTGTAAGTCTAAGTCTAAAGTCTGGGTCACTGTTTACAGAGTCACAAGGTATCAGTTAAATCCACTAGAGGGCACTGTGACCCCAGTAATTCACAGACTTTCTTTTTCCTCCAAGCTCTCTACCAGAGGTCTTGGAGCTTGAGGGTTCTGAGCAGTATTTCTGTTGTTCCTAGAACTGCACTTTTCTTGACCAAGAAATCTGATGTATTTTCAGGGATCTGCTGTAACCACTACTCAAGTTTAGGGGTCACTGCCCAGAGTGCCCCAATGACCACAGGCACCACTGATGCCTTGACCTTCAAGGTTTTCTCCAGCTCTTCTCTGAGCCCCTGGTATTTCTCTGGTTTCACATGTTTCTTTTTCCTGATGTTGCCGTCACTTGGTATTGCTATGTCAACCACAAGGTCTTTCCTTTGTTTTAAGTCCACCACCACGATGCCCGGTTGGTTAGCCATTACCATTCGGTCCATCTGTATCTGGAGGTCCCACAGGATCTTGACTCAGTCATTCTCTACCATCTTCGGGCATGTTTCCCACTTTGACCTTTAGGTTTCCAGTCAATACTCTGCAGAAATGTTCCTGTAACCTATTCCAGCCACTTGGTCATGGTGCTCCATGTAAACTTTCTCTGCTAGCACCTTACACCCTGCAGTTATGTGCTGGATTGTCTCAGGGGCCTCTTTTCACAGTCTGCACCTGGTGTCTTGTCTGGTATGGTAGATCTGGGCCTCTATTTCTCTGGTGATCATATATATAGTCTGACTTACTGATTTCTCCAAAGGCAGTTAATAATTACAACTCTTTAGAAAACCTCATCTTTTTGTAACTTTGTATCATTCACCAGGTCCTTACCCTGAATTTTTAGATGAGTTTTCGCAGTTCCTTTCTAATTTGGTATTAAATACTGACAGGGTCATCATAGTGGGAGAATTTAACATCTATGCTGACATTGAAGGTGATAGCTTAAGAGCAGCCTTTAATGCTATCTTAGACGCTATTGGATTTGTTAGAAATGTGATTAGTCCCACACATTCTCATCTTCATACTTTGGATCTTGTGCTGACATATGGCATAGAATGTGAAGAAATAACAACATTTCATTACAACCCTGTCCTCTCTGACCACTTTTTAATAACTTTCAGGATTACTTTATCAGAGTTCTCCGCCCCCAAAATAAGTTTCCACTTTAGCAGATCATTAT